GCAATAATTAGCAACACACTGTGTGCCCGTCCTCCCGTCTTAATAACTGTCAACTCTTAACCAACCTGGTTATGCCTCTGCCTACTTTTCCACCCTCGTTTCAGGTTATCTTGAAGCAGGTCCCAGTCGTCACACAGTCTCATCCTGAATGCTCGTTTAAATAACTCATTATGTATCTCTGAAAAGGAGTTCTTTAAAAAACACAACTGAGGGTGCAGAGTTTCTTTTCAGGGTGGTTAGCTGTTTGGAAGTAGACAGAGGTGGTGGTCACACAACACAGTGACCATATTACGTGTCTGCAGATCGTTCACTTTAAAATGGTTGACTTCTTATTTCCATAGCTTTAGATGGTACCCAAAGTTCTTGGTTACACGGATGCATTGTATTGTAGCAGAGAAGTCTGGACTTTTAGTGTACCCACCACCCCCACCTGTGCACATTGTACCAATAGGTGATATTTCATCCCTCCTCCCCTTCCCATCCTCCCCTTCTTAGACTCCAGTGTCCAAAAAATTGCTAATTTTTTATATGACTTTAGCCTCAATTAATAATTTAAGTTCTTTAAAAAAAAAACGGGAGGAGAAAAAGCCCCACATAACCACAACATCATTTTTACACGTAAACTAAAGTCTCCTTTTGTTTTGTAAAATTTTACTAGAATGTCTCTTGCTTGAATTGCTGGAGCACCCTGAGTATAGGCCTTTGCCTGGTGGTAGACCCTAGGCAGGCTTCAGCTCATGGACTGGAGGTGGCAGAGCAGGCTCCCACCAGTATCCTGTGTCTCCCATTTCTGCTGATAGTCCCCTGTCCCCAGGGCAGAGAGAGTCACTCCTGGCTGTTTCAGTCTCTGAGATGCAGGGAGATGAGGCCAGGATAGAGGCACTCTCACAAGACTGCAGCTCCGTTCGCCTGCAGAGTCTGCTGGTCCCCGCAACCCACGTTCTTCCTCAAACCTGCCCTGTCCTGTTTTGCTCCAGGACTCTGTCTTCAGGTAGCTTGCAGTTAAGGAGAGATGCCAACCAAGGCATGGGCATAGGTAGGAAATGCCAGCTGAGCGATGTGTAGTATAAAGTTCAAAGGAGGAAGGAATGGATCCTTGTGGAACTGAAATAGTTCTGGAAGCCTTGGCCCCTGCTTGATTTTCAGCAGGGTTGCCAAGGCTATTCAGTGGATAAAGAATAATCTCTTCAATGAATGGTGCTAAGACAACCGGATATCTACCTGCAGAAGAATAAAACTGAGCTCTTGCCTCACACTGTATACAAAGTTTACTCAAAATAGATCAACCACCTAAATATAGCAGCTAAAACTGTAATACTCTTAGGAGAAAACAAAGAGTCAAATCTTCATGACCTTGGATTTAGCAATGGATTTTCAGATGACATCAAAAGGAAAAGCAACAACAAAAAAATAAGTAAATTTAAAACCTTTGTTAATTAAGGAGGGTGATTATCAAGAAAGCAAAAAGCCAACCTACAAAATAGGAGGAAATATTTGCAAATCATATATCAGATGAAAGTCTGGTTGCCAGAATATATAAAGAACTCTTACAACTCCACAACAAAAAGACAAACCACTTAATTAAAAACTAAGCAAAGGATTTGAATAGATCTTTCTCCAAAGAAGGTATACAAATGGCCAACAAACCACACAAACAGATGCTAGATACCATTAGGCCTACAAGCACATGACAAGCTGTTAGACATCCTTACTCATCAGGGAGACACAAATCAGAACCACAGTGAGGTACAACTCACACCTACCAAGATGGCTTATAATCACACAAGTGAGACATGCATACAGGTGAGGATATAGACGTTGGCGTGCTGGTTCTTGGCTGGAGGGAATGTCCCGTGGTGCAGCTGCTGTGGGAAATACCTTGGTAGTTTCTAAACAAGCTAAACCTAGAATTGCCATGTGCACAATGACTCCCCTTCAAAGTGTGTGCCCCAGGAATTGAAAACAGGTTTGCAACACATATGAATACATGCATGCTCATAGCAGCCCCAGTCACAGTGGCCAATGACTAGAAACAGCCTGCATGTCCCTCCCCAGATGACATGTGGTGATGAAATGTGGTATACACACACACATACATGGAATATCCCTTGGCCATAAAAATGACTGATGTGCTCTGCCTGCTGCAGTGTGGTGACCTTCAAAACATCATGCTGGCTGGGCTCAGTGGCTCAGCCTGTAATCCCAACACTTTGGGAGGCGAGGTGAGTGGATTCCCTGAGCCCGTGGATTCGAGACCCGCACAGGCAACTTGGCTAGACCTTGTCTCTATCACAAATCAAAAACTAGCTGGGCATGGTAACGCACGCCTATAGTTCCATCTACTTGGAAGGCTGAGGCAGAAGAATCGCCGGAGCCCAGCAGGTCGAGGCTGCGGTGG